CGGTGAGTGCACCATGGTGCATACAGTTTGCTAAATGACCGTTGTTGCCGTTGCCTCGACATCTATTCCCAAATTCCATTTGCTGCACCACCCGGCGCACCTCAATGTGATTTGGTACAGCTGCACATCAACAAATGGCCCTTTCTACGCAATGTAAATAAAACCACATCTGTGCCTTGCTCGATCTGCCATACTTACCCATGCGATCCCATGTGTATAGTCACGACATAGCTGGTAAAGTGAAGTCTTCATCTACACCTAGAACCCATTTGACCTCCTTTCTTGATATAGAGAACAAACACATATTTTGGATAGTTGATCCTCCAAAAAGTAGGGGTCGTTCAGGTTCTAGGTGTGCGGTATCTCCACGTTCGATCCAGAGCTCTGTATCTCTTCCCACCTTCTCCACGGGAGACCCGAAGGGAGAGGCAAAGGAGGCTTCATGCACCTGACCACACGGGCGGTATGATGTCTGCATTGATGGGTCGGTGACCCAATGAGGTGGTCAAAGCTGGAGACCATAGCTGCTGGCAACTGGTGAAATAGCTAGCCTCTAGACCTCCAGACCAAGGTTGACCAGGTGGGGTAGGTTACCAAGCTAGTTTTGCCAAAATCCTGTACACTGACCATATCTGCTTGCCACAGGCGTGGTCCTACAATTCTATGCGGATGGTTTCTTGTGCTAGTTACCTCTGTGGAGAGCTACACCCACTTTTGAGCGGGGAAACATGAAAGGTAGAGACGGACCGAGTAGCTGTCGGGACCTGTTCTGGTGAGGGACTGTCTCCGGTGTTTCAGGAACGTGCCCCTTGGTCAATCATGGATGAAACCAACAAAGCCAGAGAGCACAAGAAGGCATAAGAAGGCTCAAGAGGAACTCCGTTGCGGTCAGATTGCGCCACACGGCTCTGCAGAGAGGCTGCGTTGCGTCGACGCTCGTTTGTGCCTAGGTGTGTGAAAACAGGCGTGCGTAAAAGTCGCAATGCGTAAACGCTCGCATGTGTACCAGCTATGGTCCCACAGCTGCACGCACTGTGTCAGGATTACAGGCCTGCACGCGTTGCGTCGAAGCCGCAGTGACTCAGTGACCAACCCCCTTGTAAGGATAGTGCTGGAGGGGTGCGGCCGGTACTGCCAGGGATGGACGTCACGCTATGGTGGGTGTGCTCCACGATGCGGTAAGATTTCGCCACGCTAGAGTATAAGGCTGAGTCGAATGGTGTTCCGCGACGCGAGGGGTTTCTCCACAGGGCTTTGCAGAGAGGCTGTGTTGCATCGATGCTCGTTGGTGTCGAGCAATATGGTCTGTGAATGCAGTACGCGCTGTGTCAGGCTGCCGGGTGCGCACGCGCGGCATCGAAGCTGCATTGCGCGACCTCATTGCGCAGGGTTCGTGCTGTATTGCGCAACCTCATGGCCAGCGTCGTACTGCTGTGACTGTTAAGCGCATGACTTCACCTTATGTCCAGAATTTAGTAGTGCTGGCGACGAGGGGAGGGGACGGGGAGGGGAGTGGAGGGGGGGGGGGGGGGAACTAATTAATTTTTCTATCATTCATCCCAGGGGGGGGGGGGGGGGGGGGTGTTAGACATTGATCTACCAATCTTTAGTCCCGAGCAAGCTCTCAAGCCAGTCCCTTTGCTTCGCAAAGCAAACTCAAGGTAGTCCTTACCAGGCTACCTTTCGTGACTTAGCAAATAGCAAAAAAAAAGTTTTGCAAGAAACGCACGGCATGTCCAAATCACTCAAAAGGAAACACAGGGCGCATGCGAATCTATTTTTATAAATTGTGCACCCAATCTGGCCTGTGGTCCAGAAAAACGTTTTTCGATTCTGGCCATCTCTGTCTATACGTCGTCCAGGGAAGCCGCGCTCTTTTGTTTGGTGTGTATTAGGGAACCCTCCCAGTTCGACCGTTGGAAGAAGTAAAATGGAAGAAGACCCCAGTGGTTGGGGTCTCCCTAGTAGAATACACATCCATTTCCCAACGAAACAGTTGACGTGACTTCACAAGTGGTAGGCTGATGTAGGCCCTTTCGTGGTCTCACCCCTCCCACGTGATTGAAATGAACGAACCAAACTCCAAACCGCCTGAATTTGGTTCTCTCTCCACACTCCAAATCAGGATGTGATCCGTTTGGTCCCCCCAATGCTCATGACACAGGAACCCATATATGGATATGTTCGTTCCACACACACCTCAATAGAACCCATTTTTTCCAAACACGGCAACCCCCACATACTACTCACAAGGTCGAAGAATAGGTCAACCCCCTAGGAATCCAAGTATCTTCTCAAAAGGCACTTGGACCCTCCAAGCCTACATAAATAGTCTTCTCCAATCACCTTATGAGAAGGTACTTGGATCCCTATATAGGGAACAAATGATTCTGGACACATAATTTCTTAAGAATCGATGTAAACGTGTTTTTGCAGTGGTTAGACATCTCCGAGAACCCGATCTGCAACAAAAACCTGCAACACAAATCGCCGTTTTTGTGGAGGAACGCTCCTCTTCCAAGGGCCAAGGGTCCGGAGAAAAGCACCAAGTGAAAAACTGTTCCTTCACATCGCCAATCCGATGTCTAAGTTGTCTTGTTCAACTCAGCCGTTTCGGTGCCATTTGGGTGTGAGTTGCATGATGTGACCTGCAAGGACACTGGAACAGCACGAACAAGCAACAACATGAATGACAAACGCCAACGGCCACGGTGGTTCTCCCGGAGCAACCAAGCAACCAAGCAAACCGCTGGGCTTGGGTGGTGAAACAAATGAAGAAACTGCTTTTTTTTCGGCGCACCTCAGGCCTATCCACCACTCCGATCTCTGTGAGATGCCTCAGAGTTGCATTTTCCGACTCCAATCTTCCTCATGAGGCGTGCAAAGGAGTGCATGATGTGCTGCTTGGAACACAACATCTAGTGTGTTCGAGTTTACTGAGCTTGTTCACAAAACACGCTTTCCTCGAACCAAAACATGGGTTCTATCGAACTCCCAAGAGTGGCTCCCACATATATGGGGGTTCCTCGTGATCCAAGCGCACACAAACCTGGGGGAAAATGTGTCTCACTGATCTGTCGGATGAAGTACATATGATTAATTTGTTCTCACGAGTTGGTTTGAATCAACATGACAAACTAGAGAGACCCATGGCCTTTCATTCAAGCTCGGACACATGGACACCAACCAACTTCCAACCTGTCCATATCTTTCTAACCCAACAATTTGGGCGCTCCCCAGCCGGCGCCACCGAACTTCGAAAGGCACGGAACCGTGCCGGGCTGTTCTCTTCTTTTACACACAGATTTGGTGACCCAAGCCCTTCTCGTTTGAACAGGCCACTGTTGGACCAGCTGATCGATGATCGCCTGGAAGGGCTCACTCACGCCTCGCCTGGCGGGGTTTGGAGCGGTGCCGGCCATCGCATCGGGCCGATGGCCGACTGGATCGGTGGTTCAGAATTCATGGACAGAGTCTTTGACCATGTCAGTTCGGGAGGCCAGGGGTGTAGCAATAGCCAGCAGTACTGTTCTAAACAAGTGCAAGCAAAAGGAGCTGTTGGTCACTAGTTTATATTGGTATCCTACGACTTTCCGTGTTTCCAGCACCCAACTTAGAGTTTGAACGAAATGGTGTAATTTCTGACCGTAGCAACTTGTACATGTATGAACTTGCTTCTTGATGTCATTTGTTTTCTGTTCACATTTTGGGGCTTGGATCTCACATCGAATTCCATGTAGTAATTACTTTGTGTTGCCGACAAACAAAGAAACACACCGACTGTGTAGTGTAGCTTGTACTGCAAACCAAACCATGTTAAATTGATGGCTATATATCCTTTTTATATTCCTTGATGTTCCTTGACGGAAATCAAACTATATGTTGGCATTATCCTGCATTCGCTTCGGCCCGCAATCTGATTCTCTTGAAGCTCTTGTCGTGACAACCTCTTGTCCCGTCCCCAATGTCAGAACATCTGAATCTGTGCTATGGGATAATATGAGTGCGGTTGAGTGGTTTGGTCAAAATCATCTACCATCCCAAAAAGCCTTTTCGCCGGTCTACCCGCTTACGTCCGGTGGTTTCATCGGTCTGCCCGGGAACGGTGCCAAGCACACCTGGCACGGCTCCACGCGTCAAAGTGCTCGGGCACCGGCATTGCGATCTCCGTGGTGCGGCGCTGTGCCGCTGTGCGGCCGCCCGGTTGGACCGGACGGGGGTTTTCAGCCGGGTCAGGTCCCGAGACGTCGGCGAGGTCAGTGGTGGCGTTGCATGGATGCGAAATCACACTTATTAGGCTGTTGATGCTCATAAGCTGATTCTGGCTGGAGGCCGCTGTCAATTCTTGGAACTGCAAGAAATACTTCAAACCTACATAGGGGAGTCATGATTCGACAGTTGCATTGAACTAGTCGAATGCCATGTCAATGCAAACAGCAACAACATCCTATAAGTTACTGTGTCTCTGATACCATTGCTATCCAATGCTATCCAGCATCCAGTATGCATTATTCACTCCATTGTTGCACTGCACCTTTCTTTTTGGCACAAAGAGAAAGAACTACAGTAGAAGCAAACACCTTCTTGCAATCTCCAGCACATGGTCACTAGCCAGTACGCAGCCAGTGCGTCCTTGAGCCATGGTGTCCGGTGTCAGCCATGGCGAGCTGGAGATCAGTCATTCGGCCAAGGTGCATGCCTCCAAGAAAAGTCAATGCTAACAACAAGTGGGACAACATGAGGAAGCCTCTCCATTCGTTCAAACGACACATGCGGACAACTCAACATTTCCCCGCTTTAAACAGAAGGTGTGCGTCTTTTTTTGCCTTCATCACAATCTGTTGTAAATGAATGTTATATAATGTATACGCATGTATATTAAATATTATATTTGATATAATTATAGAATGCCTCCCCTTCTGAATATAAGTATAAGACTAGAGTGGCTGGAGGTGAGAACACTGCCGTCAATCAATCCGCTTCTCCCCAGTCGAGGTAACTGCATGTACAGGTCAGCGACCATGTGCCACTGCCGTCCTGGAGATGTCACTCCCGCGCACAAAAAGCAAAGGTGAAGCTCTACAAAGAAACAATTGGCGAATCGAGGCACAAATGAAAAGGCACTAGGACTTTTCTTCAAACCTCACGACATAATATTTCATAATCTTTCTATATCTTTCTACTGTTTGTGAGATTCTCAACACTGCCGCCGCTACCACATGAACGTAAATATCATTACATATCTTTCCTGCAAAAGACCTGTAGTAGGTAGTTCTTGTAGGTAGCGGTATTAGTATCCATCTTGATGTCCGTGTGATTATGGTTTTAGGATGAGTCCGCAAAGGCCTTTCAACCAACAGACCGAGACAGCTTCAATGATTGCCACCAAACCAAAGGTGCATTCAATCAGTTCTCAATCACAAACACATGGTACCACCACCCAAAGAACGTGGACTACCAACAGTTTACCCCTTAACCTCAACAAAAAACGTTCCCCCTCCTCTCTCGGTGGCACTCATCACAGTGTTAAAGCTGATGAGGCTGGGCCGAGGATTGAGCTGGAGCCTTGGATCTTTGAAAGATTCGTTCAACAATCTCAACCGCCCAAGGCCTTTCAGGCGTTTCAGGAGCCTCCAACGGCCCAAGGCTGCTCGTCTGAAGACACTCGAATTGAACTGTTGAGCTCACCCAAAAGCTGCTTTCCAGCAAATTTGAGTCCCATGACATTCCAACACCATGCCCGCCCTTCACCTTTCCGCGCATCTCTGAAACGTGCCCCCCTCGCTTAATGAGAAGTGCCCAGCGGCAGGTCGAGAGCAGCGCGCCACAACTGCACTTTGGCTGTGGCACTCAAGCAACCATTGTAGGTGATGACCTTTCACGGGGTCAAAACTAGTCAAAACCCGTCAACGGAGAAGAAAAAGGCGTGGATAAAAAAAGAGTGGTCAATTCCTGCGAAAAAACGGATCGTTAAGAAGGGAGAGCAACAAGCGACTGCCTCAACGGCGCCAAGCCACGCTGGGCGCCACAGTGCTGAAGAGACTGAAGGCCCGCAGCCATTGCTCACCCTTTTCCTTGGCCAAGGAGTGGATCCTAGCTGGATTGAGTCTGATTGAGTGCTACATAGTGCGATGGTTTACGGGAACCGTTTCTTTTTTGGTGCTTTTGAACTAGCATACACTATCTGAGAACAAGATTCGCGAGGTGCCGCGTTTGGATGTGTTTACCAACCTCCGTAACATTTGTTTTTTGTAGTTGCGGCCCATTGCTGTGGACGAAGGTGCTCAAAAGCCCTAAAAATGTGCACTCCAGAGGAACTTGCTATACTTAGACGTTCCAACTGTGCAAACTTTCTGCCTTTCGGCTACAAGATGCTACAACAGTTGGAAGATCCAGGTATATCTAGCCTTCCCAAAGGCTCCACTTTCCAGGCTACGCTTTTTTTTGGCATCCATCGGTGACTGACCACGCAAGACTCACATCTGAGCACCTCTCTGCAGGTCCAATCCCCAAACGGGTGAATGGAATAGTCCACCAGAAGAGGTTCAGTCTCGAGGGGGGCTATTTGATTGGTTGATTTGGATCTTGCTACTCCACATCCCGCGTCCGATGGGCCCCCGAAAAGCAGGCGCTCGCGCTCCCCACTTTGCGTCACAGCCCGAGGCTCACAAGAGCTCAAAGCCGTGTTGTAGGACACGAGATCTTTGCTTGGAGACTGCCTATGGCGATGCGAACGAGCCGAGCCTGGTTGAGCCGAGCGTCGCGTCCAGTGATCTTCAACTTGGTCAGCAAACGAGTTCGCATTTGCACAGGCCCAAGGATCAAGTTGCTAAGGTCGCTGTTCTGTGTCGCAAGGAAATAAACAAAACTCATTAAATGTTTAGCCATCCGAAAGTGCCTCGGACACTGACACTCCAGCTTTTTAGCCTTCCAGAGTTCTTGGTCAAGTGCAACCAGTGCAGATTGAAAAGAAGGCCAAGCTACACATGGAACATCATAGAGCCAAGTTCGACACGACTTGCAGGCTATGGAAGTATAGCCGAACACAACTTGCAGGGCGCCCAAACTAGAGTGCAGGAATACTCTATTTCCAAATAACCAGGGGCCCTCAAAACCATGAAAAAGAACGGTTTTCACATACAAAAACCATGGTTTATGCTAGGGAAAACCAGGTTTTTGATGGTTTGTGGGGCCCCTGGAAGAGGGTGATCCTTTCCGAAGTTGGTCAGAACCCGTCGTTGAAACCGACCACTCGCGTCTGACCATGAGGAATCATGTGCCGACCCTCTGCCAGAACGCCCATCGGACCAGCGGAACCTGAGACGCAAAAAAAAAAAAACGAGGTCAAGATCCAGTCCGAAAGCACCCACCCAGCATTCCCAAGGTTGGTGTCATACATCGCCCACGGTTGGAGCTGAAGAAAGGGCGACAGCAGAAACGTCAAGTAAGAACCACTGTTCAATTGATGGTCGAAGTCGAAGTTGTAGTCATTGTTATGTGATTGTCAGATTTGAGTCAGGCTAAGATTGGTGAAAAAAGCTGGTCCCAATTAACATCCTGTTCAAAGGGAATGAAGCTGCACGCCGCCTAAAACCATTGATCCATGAATTCATGAGCAGTTCCCGAAGTTGTTTGAAAAGCCGATGGCCTGGACCCCCACATCATCCCACATTGTTTTTAAACCTATTAAACGCGTAGAAAACGGGCCTCAACACGACCAAGGAAGCCTCCCAAGCCGGTCCACAGGTGGCCATCACCGCGTTGTACCTTGCGGCACTTGGCCATTTCCCGCGGAGCCGTGAAGCGGCGCGAGGCGTGCAATGCCAAGTGAGGTGCTCGAACCGCCGGGGTGTGGGTCTTCTCGAACCTCCGCACCCACCCCGGGATGTGGGAGAAGAACCTCAGGTGCCCCGTTCGTAGCTTCTTGCTCCTAGTAGCGATGCCAGGAGCCCCGAACGTAGTTGGTTCAGTAAGAGGTTGTCTCGGCTCGAAGAAATCGATCACCAAGGCAATCTCAAACTCAGCTACGGTATTTCCGTCACTCCACTGTCTCAGGGCTTGACACTCACCAATTGAGACAACCAGGTCTTAACATGCAATCCATATTTGTGTTTCATTCCCATGTTTATCCTCATGCAGCATGCATTTCATGGCTCATATGGTCACATGAGTCGCCCCAAAACAGGGTGGCCCAAATCTGCTGCAGTTCCCGTTAGGTCAGCAAATAGTCTCTTGGCCTCCGTCCTCCCGCGAAGGCGCTACAGCTGAAATGGTCTCCATGAAGATTTAAAACCCAAACATGCCCAAGGACGCTACGAACGTAGCTCCTGGCCTTACTACTAGGAGCAAGAAGCTACTAGTAACAAAGGGGCATCGTTACTAGGAGCAAGGACGCTACTGATGCCAAAATTTGCCCAAGGAATCCAGAGGAATTCAATGGACACGGAAGATATAGGGGGTCCGGGGTCCTGTATATATAGAGGGGTCTATTACATGCCGAATCCAAGTCTTTGAGTTCGCAGAAGATGTCAACATCCGGCCAAGCATCGTGATCACATTTGCTCGAAGATGAGCATCTCGCATCCTCAGAGGTGATTTACTGCGAGGGAGCTTTCAAGAGACATCCTGCCGACATATGTGATTTACAATGATTTACATGTATTCAAAGTAATGACACGCCAACAGGACAATATTGCGAAGCATTCTTGAGAATGGCATTTGCACCTTGCTCAGGAATCACTATCTGCGAATGTGAACTGTGATGAAATACTGTCCAGTCGCCGTAAGCCAAGAACTTGACATAATTGCTGCCAGATCAAACTTATAGATTCTAGATGATTCTAGGGGTAAAGTCTCCGGCAAAAGCTCCTGGAACCAGCAACCAAAGGGCAGGCAGTGTGGCGGAGCTGCAAGCTACATCTTCCCCCCAGAACTCACCCAACACCGATCCTTTACACCGAGGTTCTTTCACCAATCTTCCAGGCGCCCCACAAACCATCAAAAACCTGTTTTTCCCTAGCAAAAAAAAAGAAAAAAACATGGTTTTCGTATGTGAAGAACTGTATTTTTTTCATGGTCTTGAGGGCCACTGGTTTGCGATTTCGGAGGAATCCCCCAACCTTTGGGCCGTGGGATTCATCCCTCGTCTTCTTCGACCCCTCCAGAACCGGGACCGCAAAGGTCAGAAGCATCGGAAGCCCAACATCAAAGTATGGTGGGTGCCTTATATACCCAGAATACCATCAATGCCTTGCAGAATATGTCTGAAAAATATATCCTGCGTCATTACTGTGACTTAGATTGTTGGATCTATTATGATCTATTCTAAGGATTCCCACAGGGTGCCTCTTTGGAACACCCCGACCCGAGGGCCCCTCGCTCCGAGACGCTCATCCAAGAAGCCCACCGACCCTTGCCAATGAAGCCGCTTCTCACCTCTGCGCTGATGTGAGGCAAACACTTCAGGTGCATCAAAAGGCTCAAACGGACATGTCGCATTCCCAGCACCGGAAAAGGCACACGTGCTCGAGCATAGAAAGTGCTCCGCATGTGGTGTAATCCACCATCCTGGACTTTGGACAAATGCACCAAGCCGGTTTCCAAGACCGATTGGGACCATCCTAATGAAGGCTTTGCTTGAGCTGCCAAATGACCAGTCGTTGCAGGTTCAAGTTCATTGGAACCTCTACCATTCACTGACACTGTATATACGTGCCGTTGAACTCAGGTACTATCAGGGAACCATCTACCTCAGCGGTCAACAACTCCCAAATCCCACCTGGCTCGCAAACTCCAAGTTGGTGGGGGTCCATCTGAACCACCTTTCAGCAATTGCGCCATCTACTCTCAATCCACTCTTGTTGAGCAAGTGTCTGCGCGCCTTGATATCTGACAAAACAATGCGAGCACCAAACAGACTAAGCAACCATTGCTCATGATCATTATGATTCCTAGTGAACATCGCCTGTGGATTCTTGTCCAAAGTCCAAGGTGCATCACAACCCTGGGACCCTAAGCAAAAGTCAAACCAGCAAAGGCAAGTTCGAGATGTGTCCTCTGCACCGGCTCTCAAAAGAAATTATATAAGTGAGATGGTATTTCAGAAAGGCCCGAGGTTCAAAGACGCATGGCCATTTCGCGCTGCCACGTCACACGTGCTGATCGCAGCCGTGTAGGTGATCGCATCCTAAGGGCTTTCGCGAGGTCGGCGGCCGTCGGCGGGACCTGGTCTGCACTCAGTTGGCTGCAGACCTGGTCGGACCTTGAGAAGTTGAAGGAGACAAGGAAAGAAGAAACATCAGTGTGAAGACAGGGCACACAAGCCAAAGGTCCCACAGCAAGCACTTGAGAGTCAAAGCCAAACACTGCCAAAAGCATCCAAAAGCCATAGATTCAATAATTAATTAAGGCTGATGGATGCTGATGGGCCAATGACTCTTGAGGTCCAAAAAATCATTCAGATCCCTGAGATTCTATGATCCAAGCCCCAAGCCAGAACTCACAAATTTGCTTAGGTGTCCTGTCCCCATGTCCAGTACCATGGACCCTCATTAGTCCTGAAACACCTCTCATCCAGCGTTCACGTCCCGCCCGTCCCGCCTCGACCTCTCGACCTCCTATCGACCTCCGGAACGAACCGAACAAACCGGGCATCCAAGCGGACCACGCGACGCATCTTCGCCATCAGATTCACCACCTGCATGGGAATACATGGGAGGAAGGAAGGAGTGATGCGGGTTGTGACAAGTCATCGATTTTTCCATCGGCAGTGATCTCGCAAGTCATGCTCTAAGCAAGTCAGTGATCTCGCAAATGGTTTCACTTGATCTAGCAGTCGTCATCCAGAAGTGAACTCATATGGATGAGATAGAATTGGTGACTGGGAGAATTCCTCAATTGGCAGCAATAGAGCATGCATTTTTCTGAGATTCTTGTGATACAATCCATGCTGAGTCTATGAAGGAGTCCACTCATATCATTGTTTCAAACATGGGTAGAGGGGATTCACTCATCTATAACTATTCAGTATAAGAGGGTTCCAGATTGACCCCCACATGCTTGGAACCTGAACGAATATGAACTAAACCTGCATGTAGAAACGCCCGGACCTTGCAAACCCATGTTCCGAACTTCGGCCAGTGAAATAATAATCAAAGCAATTGTTTGCCTAAAAGTCCGCCCAATGCCAATACCCATGAGTGTGCAAAGCATGCCAAACGTCCCAAGCAAACAGAAATGGAAGTTTTGGACACGTTTCCATATGAATGAGTTTCATATTTATATATATACACATACACATAGTATATATATATAGTTTCATATGAGTCATACGAGTCATGTTATTCTTCCATATTATGAAGACTCATTCCCCCTTCGAGCAGGTCGAACAATCCAAGTGGCTTGGAAAGACCACGGTGAAGGAATGTCCACACAAATGTGTTCGACAACATATGGACATGCACACCGTCTCAAACACTGAGACTCCCGAATCCTGCTGAACCAAAACCAATTCCAAACTGCCTTGACGAGCTTGAGCTATCTTGAGCTATCTGTAAACGCCAATCTCCGTGAAGCAAATGGGGGCTACTGAAGCAAAATGAAGCAACCTGCAAGAAATCCCAGCCTGCTGAAGCTTGCCGCCATTCCCACAAGCGCTGAGTGCAGTATTGTAGGTGATGATGTCAGGGAGCCTTGTGAAAAATCAAGCACATGGGAAAAG